CCTCGATTTTGGCACTGAACATCTACATATGTATGTACATATATATAAGTTTAACTACTGTTAAAGATATTTCGGCAGATTTTTTTAGTATAAACATATTAACCAATATAACCAATATTAACATGTATGTAATGTATAATCTATTTCCGTCTGTGTGTAAGTTATATGTAATTTAAGTATAATTAGAAATTTTTTGTCAATTACTTTTTGTATAAACAAATAAAAAAAAACAAAACAAAACAAAATTTTTTCCAAATTCTAAGAAAATACTATTTTTTGCACAATAAATAATTAATACTTTGATAAAAAATGTATACAATAAACATATTATTTATTCATTTATATGATTTTACTGTTATTATTATTAAAAATGCATATCATAATTCAATCAGCTGTTCCTGGCACATTTCGTGAATACAACCATTAAAGTTTTTACTACCAATTTTGACTGCATAGTTTTGACGTAATTTACATAAATTAAAATTTTTGATAAGACCCAATTTTTATGTTTATAGAATTATTTTTTATAAACAAAAATATTTTTGTACACAATAATCTTTTATAAAAACTATTTGATTACGTAGATCAACACGGTTTGGTTTTTTGCATTGTCACCGTACACAGATAAAATAGTAGTATTAGTGTTCTGCTAATATGAAACAATGCAACCCAGGTACTGACAGATAAAAGTCAGCTTGGAAACACGATATAATTTCACATTTCTATTAAACTTTTATATACAATCTATTAACGACAGCATATATCTTAAAATTATGAATAATGATTTTGAACCTTTAACACCGTCACTTAAGAACGTTATCGACCAGAAATCTTTGAAATGGATATTTGTGGGAGGGAAAGGCGGTGTTGGAAAAACGACTTGCAGGTATAAAGAAAAACCCATACAAAAACAAATTCGCTCTAAATAATTAATAATTGCTTGCAGCTGTAGTTTAGCGGTTCAAATGTCCAAAGTACGTGAATCGGTACTAATTATATCCACAGATCCAGCGCATAATATATCAGATGCCTTTGATCAGAAATTTACGAAAGTACCTACAAAGGTAAGTTAAAGAAATGCTAATGACGTGTGCTGTACTTTGCATTTTAATTCTGTAAATTTAATTTATCATTTACTATTTAATTGTATCCCATTAATGCAGGTGAATGGCTTCAACAATCTATTTGCCATGGAAATTGATCCCAATGCTGGTCTAAATGAATTACCGGATGAGTACTTCGAGGGTGATAACGAAGCTTTTCGGGTAAGCAAAGGGGTATTTCATGAAGTTTTAGGTGCATTGCCTGGAATTGATGAAGCAGTAAGCTATGCAGAAGTTATGAAGTTAGTATAGTGTTTATTAAATTGAAGGCACTTGTAAAGCTAAATCCTGTGTTACAGATTAGTAAAGGCTATGAATTTTTCTGTTGTCATATTTGACACTGCTCCCACAGGTCACACGTTACGTCTCTTATCATTTCCACAAGTCATTGAGAAAGGTCTGGGAAAATTAATGCGTTTAAAAATGAAAATTGCTCCACTTATATCGCAGTTTGGTAGCATGTTGGGCTTAACTGATTTTAATCCAGATTCTTTATCAAATAAATTGGATGAAATGCTGAAAGTTATTAAACAAGTCAATGAACAGTTTAGAAATCCGGTAAGCATATAATATTGAATATTAAACATTCTAAAGATAATTGAATGCATATTATCTACTTCCTTACATAAAGGACCAAACGACTTTCGTATGCGTATGTATTGCGGAATTTCTTTCATTATACGAAACGGAAAGGCTTGTGCAAGAGCTAACGAAATGTGGTATCGACACACACAATATTATAGTAAACCAACTATTATTTATGAAGGAAAATCAACAACCATGTAGCATGTGCTCTTCCAGATATAAGGTGCTTTATCATATCATTATACATATCCCTTTTTTATATATATATATAAAATGATTTTATTTTCAGATACAAGAAAAATATTTAGACCAAATTGCTGATTTATATGAAGATTTTAATGTCACCAAATTGCCACTACTTGAGAAAGAAGTCCGAGGTGCAGAAAATATAAAGAAATTCTCCGAAAACTTAATAATTCCTTACAGTCCTAAATAAAAATAACTTATTTGCATATATTGTGATTTTTATCGTTTTGTCGATTTGGAAAAAAAATATTTGAAATGAATCGAAAACTATATTTTTTAGTATAAAACAACTTTAATAAAATTATTCATTATACCAAATGCAATTATTTGCAGAACATCTTTGAATACCTTTAGTATATTATTCAGTTTATACAAAAGGCTAAATATTTGTTTAAACTAGTTAAAAAATTTATTTATCAAACATACACATCAATCATACTCATTAAGGGGAATTTCTTTATTAATTATCTTATTGTTTTCTATAAAACAGACGTTAGATAGATAAACAACATAACAACAATAAGTGGAATGCAAGCGGTGTTCTATAGAAAGAAACTTTCTATATATAAAAAAGTTGCATATAAAAAAGGAAATATAACAACAATTATATTTATAGAAACTTTTATAATTAAAAAAATTTTCTTTTATTATTACAGTATAATCTCGAATTCGGATTACCAAAATAAAAATATGTGATGAATAGTTGTGAATGAAATTGATTTTTAATGAAAATCATTAATAATTTACAAATTCATTTTTGATATTTTAAACTTTTATACAAGTTTTTAAAAAAAATGATAATTGTTATTTGCTGGATTTGTTTCATTTTGTTCATTATATGCAATTTTTCTTAGACTAAGAAGTTGTAAAATGTCTCCAGAAATGAAATGTTGCTTTTGTCCATATTTAAATCATGTGTTAAACGCTGATATAACTTGGGAATGCAGAATTCTTTGCACTTGGTTTTCAGTATTCATGTGATTGTTATTATTGCAGACATCATCTTCAATATTAGCATCAATAGATTCACAATCAGCATTTGTCCATTCATCAGAGGTGTCTACTTCAGTTGAGTTACTAGAACATGGTCGTATATCTTCTTCAATATTAGCATCAGTAGATTCTCAATCAGCATTTGTCCATGCATCAAAATCATCTACTTCAGTTGAGTTATAAGAACGTGACTGCATATCTTCTTCAATATTAGCATCAGTAGATTCCCAATCAACATTAGTCCATGCATCAAAATCATCTACTTCAGTTGAGTTATAAGAACTTGACTGCACGGATCTATCGTCATCTGAACGGTGACGATAGATTGTCGTCTGAAGGATGACTTCATTATTACAAATTTTATCAAGAGATTTTCTGAATAGACGTTTGTCCATAAAATACCAAGAACTTGATAGTAGTAAAACAACATCTTTTAAAGGGTAGCCATTTAACGATTCTATTAAATTTTTTATTGAATTTAACAAAAGATGTTTTAAAAAACGTTTATGATAGTCACATTTTAAAACACGTATAGGATTGTGGTTCACACGTAGTATACGAGCCGTGCTATTTGGTGGCAAAAGCATGACACATATGTCTTTATCAAAGTGTGTTAGTAATTGTGGGTAGCAAGATTCACTTTCTACCATTAAAATTGCTTTGGATGAAAAATCTCCTCTGTTTAAATACTCTGGGGCACCAACTGATTTTAAAAATATCAAACTTTAGACTTCGATATTTGGAAAGCTAAGTTATATCAGCATGACTATAGAGAAAAAAATTGCTTAAAAGAGAAGAGTATTTAAATCCGTTGTCAAATCGGACGTTCACAGATCTCGAGATCTTGAAAACCTAATTAAATCGTCATTTAGCGTAATGAAAGAAATTGATTAGAATAGACGATTCTTTTTAAATCCGTTATCGAATTGGGAACCCCTAGAAATAGAAATCGTGGTCTTTTTTGAATAAGGTATTTGAAAATTGATACTTAAAAATTTTGTCGACATTTAAATTTTTTCAGTAAATTTCGTATACTTTTCGTCAATATAAAGTATATCATTATTTATAAAACTCTTCAATATTTGAAAATCTTCAGTAAATAATTTATTAAATTTTGAATTTTTTTCTTGCTCTGGTTTTGTTAATAACGTTTTTTAATATATTTTATAAAATATTTAATTAATATTTACTAATTAGTTCTCATCCTGATGACTCTCAAGAAGAATCTCTACACTATACCTGGTATATATTAAGGTTGTTGTAGGAACATACCTAGCTATAATTTAAGATAAGTGCTTAATTAAAGGTTTAAAAATAAAATAGTTTGTATTAGAATATTTCATACCTCAGGCTTTGATGTTTTTCTGTAAATTTTAGTATGTAGTACATTATTATTTATAAAACTCTTTAATAATTAAATATCTTAAGTAAAATTTTTATAGACTATAGCATACAATAAAATCGTTCTAGAAATAAAGATATCATTTAATATAGATGATTAATTAAAGGTTTAAAATTGCATTTTTAGTATCAGTATATTTCATATTTTATTTACTTTTTGTAAATCTCTAACAACTCTAACTTCGACTAGTTTTTTATCTGCTATTCTGACACAGTATTTCATTTAAAATGTTACTCGTTGTGAATAATAATCGTTACAAATGTGTTGTTAAATTATCCTACAATTTGTGAACTCTAATATTAATAATAATATAATGTAATAATAATAATATAATATATTATACATAATATATTAATAATACAATATATTATTTATAATATAATAATATTAATATAATATACTTAGATGTTGAATTACTCTACAATTTGTGAACTCTAAAACTTATAAATAGATATATATCTGATGGACTGATTATTAATTAATGAAACGTACTACGATATTGTCAAAACGTCTGTTAACTGTGATGAAAATGAAAGTCTGTTTTAAAATGTAAAAATCACTTTAACAACACTGACTTTGAGTACAAATTTTATTTGTGGTGAATTTAACAACTCAACATGAATGAAATGTTATGGAAATAATGAATTTTATTTCTCAGTCGCGTACAAAATAATGGGAGTCTTGTGAGTGTGAAGACGGAAATTTGTTGTGTCGGAATTTTGTGCGTGAAGTATAAAAACAAAAGGAAAAAATAGATAAATTAAGCAATTTTTAATGATAATAAAAAAAATATAACAGGTGTTTTGTGTGCAAAGCGATATAAAGGAAAAAAAAAAAACTATCGTAAAGCAATTGAAGATCACTGAAAAAGCGCCTGAGCAATTAATTGAGTAAATAAAAACAATAAAATAAATTACATGCGAAGCAATTAATAACAGTGAATTTACTAAATAAATCGAAGAAAAAATAATTGAATCGAAATTTATCTACTGCATTAGGAATTAATTAAATCAAAGGTAAATTCTTCTATTGATTGATCTAAATAAAAACAATACATTCCTTAAATGAAAAAACATATAAACAAAATGTAAACAAACAAATAATCGCATTCATTGTATATGTCATCATCAGAGTCAGAGTTGATATACAATGAATGGATTGTTTATCTGCCTGTCGCCTACCGCCTGCCTCCTTTCTGAGTTGGCTTGGCTTGGTTTGTCCATTCAACATATTTAAGGGTAAAAAAGTTAGTCACGAATAATGAAACCAATTTTTAGTTTTTTTTCTGCATATTCTATTTACTTAGAAAAGTTTTCTGGTTTTTCACTGTTTATCATTTTGCCACAACATTTGCGGTGTCCTTCCTTTGACCACCACTCAACGACGCAAAAAAGCTCATAAAATAACTGCACCCAAACGTCCTGCACACACACGTACTCATCCCGTCACTTGGGACTATGAATACCAAATGTTTGTTTGCTAGGACCTTCTGCTGCTCCAGTTGTCCTTTACTATGCCTACCAACAGTAACCGTGCCCTTGAGCATATTAAATTCTAAAAGCCTAATAGAGAATATGCAACTTGAACTTTTTGGGTTTTACTATCGACCACTAAAATATACGTACGTACGTACGTATGTGTATGTCTTAATTGAAATTTTCATATAACTTCAAGTAAGCCTATTAGGCTGAGCCCCTCTCAATATTGATACCCGTAATAATAGCAATTGAATATAATTGAAATTATGAGCTGCTCTTGTTCCACATTCGAATGGTTGTTGGATATGTTGTGTCTGGTTTTTTCATTTTTATTATAATTTGCAAATAGGTCGATACTTTATTTAATCTTTTAATAGCTAAATTAACTAATGAGCTTTGAATGTCTACTTCAGATCTAGCTTGAGTGATAAGATAAGACTTTTTCTTAAATAATTGGTACATTATTTTGTGTTATTCTATCGACAAAAATCAATTTTCATATCTAAAGAATACTCTCAGCACTGAACAAGAATAAACGACATATATGTATATGTGCACTTAAGACCCAGATTGACTGATAAGATAAGATGTTTTTCTTAAATAATTGGTACATTGTTTTGAGTTGTTCTCTCAACAAAAAATAATTGTCATTGCTATAATATTAATATTAGATTTTCTTTTTTTGGTCCCGAAGAAGAAAATCTAATATTAATATAATTAATATTAATATTATTAATATTAATACAGTCCTAACTCTCAGGGTTAAGAAATACACAGCATTGGACAAGAATAAGTGACATATATTTCTAGAGATATCTAGGAATAGGGATAATTCTTAATATTAATATTAAGAATATTTATATTTTTAAATTGTATTAATTAAAGAATATAAATATCTTAGAATATTAATATTCTATTATTAATAAAATAGTATATTAAAAGAATATTAAATACTGAAAAAACAAACAATACTCAACATTAATTACTAAAGAAATTAAGTCACACCATAACAACTTTGACTCAAAATACATCACAAAAGAACGGGAACCCTTTTAAGACTAACTAAAATTACGAAAAATCTTCTGATGTCCGTCTTTACAGGATAATGCGTAAAGCCAGTAAAGACATTTGCAGAAGCTATTAACAGGAGAGCATAAAAGAAACTTGTTATATCTCTCTGCAGTTCTCTCAAAAAAAGATTTTAATTTTAATTAATTGACAGACCTGGGCCCATGGAAACCAACAAGGGTCACCGTTTGGTTTCTATTGAAAATGAGGAAAAGTGTAAGTGTAAACTATCAGTATAAAATTCAAATAGAACAAAAGTTTAAAAAAAGAGTTCGCACAAAATTACAACAAAAACTGGGGAACAAAATTTAGGTGAAATGTAAGCAAGGTCTTTCCACAATCCGTTTTAAAACAGTATCCTCTTGGAGATTTCGGTTGTCTAACAACAGAGTTCTACCATAAAGAAGCCTTCACTTGACATCTCTGAAAATATATGTCGCTTATTTTTGTCTAAGAAGTTCTGAAGAAATCTTCGCTTGATATGTCTGGAGATATACATATGTCACTTTTTCTTAACACTGAACTGTCTGTACTTTACTAGAGTTTAAGCTTAAAATTTCTGTTAAAGTTTAACCGCTCGCAATGATAGTTGAATAATATGGGATGTAAGCAAAAATATTTCTATCAAATATGTTAAGAAAGTCCATACCTCCGAAAACCGAAAAACTCTAACAAAAAGATTTTGTATATAAAGTGTGCATATTTCTTCAAGCTTCCAGTTAGTAAAGAAATCTCTATCTATTATAAAGTCTAAAATGTTTAAATAATTTAGTATCCTACTCTTTTATTTGTTATTATATGACCACGAAAACTCTAACCATTTCTAAAAAGTACTTCACATAACACATAGACTTCTATTAAACAAGTTTTCAATACAGTTTAAGTGAATAATAACATGATAACGTTAAAAACTATTTTCAGAAAAAAAGCTCTGATTAAATATAGACTAAAGACATACAACTTGATTATCAACTTGATATTAATGGCTCACTTCAGTCTACACTACCATCTTAATATCTGATTTCTGTTTAATGTCTAGTTCCTCTTTATCTGGATAGATTTAACTTTTATAATTTAATAAAACTATCACATTGTATGACTATCAATCTGTCTAACTATACTTTGCATCACTATTATTATATTGGTGCAATCGCTCTTGACTTTATGGATTATTAAGAACTCCTTGACTAAAATAATTCCGACCTCCGTTAGGGATTTAGTTGTGTTATAAAATATTTGATAAAAGTACAGTTAAAAGTTCTGCTTCATTGAGATTATTCGTACCTAGTTTATTACTATATCATTAATATTATTGTTATTATTATTAATCCAAATATATTTGCGTACGAGATCCGCAGATATCGTTAGTATGACAACAATTATATGACGCAAATGAATTTCGAATAGGCTTCACAATAAAAAAGAAATTGTGCTGATAATTATTAATAATAATTATAATTATAGAAATACAATATCTTAAGATTATTATACTATACTCTATTGCACCTATATCTGAACCAGACTACTGATGAATGTGTCGCAAGATGTGCAATTTGATTTACTTATCACATTTTCTGGAGAATTTATTTATAGAGAACTTTCCTTTAAGTGAATTGGGTATATACTTGTAGTAGCAGTAAGAAAAATTTCCACCCTAAGCTAAATTGTTGCTTTTCCAAAAAATCTGAATGTGTAAAAAGTAATCATAGATTAATCTAATATATTTACATCTTACATCCTTAATATGTCAGGAGATCTTAAAATGCTTGGAAACCTTGTTTAATAAAAAATAAAAGAAAGCCTTATCTCACTAAGTAAAGTATAAAAATATTATACAATATAGTAAGAATATATATACAATGTTATGGTAGCGACCTAACATAAATATCTATCATTAGCTATAAGTTAATGAAAACTTAAATCAGCTGAAAATTATAAATAATTTTGTAATTAATGGACTTTTATTTACAAAAAAAACTTTACTGTTTTTTTTTTATAATTTTAATTTTTCACAATTCGAGCGTCTAGGGTTATCCTCTTTCCTATTAGTTTCTCTCGCACTGACATAGCACATAAATTTAAAATACTGTCACCTGTTTAATATAATATGTTATGGTCAGTGTTATGAGTAATACTCAAGGTTAGGTTGAAATGACACCACATCGTATTCAAGCTGTAAGACCACAGACCATAGGTCTAACATAGACATAGGTCTAGACATAGACATAGGTCTATGTGAGACCATAGACCACACCATACACATTATTAAAAAATCTAAGTGGTTATCGTACGGACAATATCAAAACACCACGGTTTCTCCATTCAAGTAACAAAAGATCAACCTGATAAGACTAAATATCTCCCTGACATTTAAATGTGCTCGGACCCCCAAAGATTTGTAATCCTGTACTGGCCAAAAATGTATTAACAAATATAGTGAAGCTCAGTTCTCTCCTTATCTGCAAAGCCTCAACCACCTCAGAAGTTATTATAGGACAAACTAATTCTTATTTTTAATCTATAAAATTTACTGGCCTGTTTTCGCCGATACCGTAGTTATGAGTAGGTTCTATTTTAGTTGAAGTACCTGACTGTTGTGTTTCATTAAAATCAACTAGGTATTGCGATTTGACAAAAAAATACACCTACCCTGGGTGATACTCAACTCTAACATAAATTTATAGTATAAATTCCTATACATACGACTGTTCTAATGCTATTTTATAGGTTCAAACTCTAGTACTAGGGTATTATCAGCAACTACAAAGTTGAAGAACATACAAGGTTTCAGTATTATTTATTTTTTGTTTTTTTTTACTTCAAATTGCTATTTGTGTAAGGTCGATAGTGACTCCATCTTTCTATCTACTTGCTACGTTAATGTCCAGTTCTAATGACTAGATATTTCACATGCAAGTATAAATTTAAATACATTATATTATATTATATGAAAACGACTGTACGCATTCATTGTAGTTTGACGCAATTTGCACGTAACTACTTTGCCGTTTGTTGTGGCCATGAAAGGTAAACCTAAACAGTTTCCTATTTTTGGAGTGGTTTTATTGACTGCTATGGTTAGTATAATTAACAATGTAAAAAAACTTTTAATATTTAAATTTTATTTCATATTCCCTTTAAAACGAATACAGTTAAAAATAACATAGATAGCACTTAATTGTGGTTTTTAAAGTATTGGAAAGAAGACTATTATAACTGTTTCTTTTTTTTTCCAATTAAAATACAATACACATCAATTGTTAATTATTACGATAATAAATAAAACTTACTCCAAGGTTTGGTATTTGTTTAAATTTGTATAATAGAAACATTATAGTTCTCCAACTGTAGTTCGTCAAGGAAATGTTTGCAAATTGCATATACATTAATATATTTTATTTTTTTATTTAAATCAGTTTCTTCAACTTTTATATATAAAAATATATAAACAAAAGTTTAGGAACTTAAAA